CAACATCACATTGGTGTGAACTTGTTTTCTATGAAACTATTTCTAAAAGGTAACTTCTTCATTATGCAGGGTTTTTTTTAAAGTAAGTTTAAATCATTTTTATTTCCTGAATTTTTAACAATATCCATGTGCAAGCAACCTTTTTTCCAGGAACTAAGGTCTTCCTTCCACATAACAGGCTTAGAGAAAAAGGAGCAATTAGGGTTATATACTCTAATTCTACAGAGAATACACCTGCAAGTGCAAAAGGATGATTAAAAAAACCTTTTTTCTCTGGATGCGTAAGAAAAGCCATCAGGGTCTCTGAAAAAGCCCAACACATTTCTTTTAGCAGTCTCAGGAGCTGCAAAATACTTTTTAAGAGCTGCTCTCCTCCAACATGGCCAACCTTTTCACTGCTTTCAACACAATGGCAACCAAAGTTTCAGCAGATGAACAGCCTACATCTTTAAATTTCCCAGTATAAGTAAACTCTTCCACATTCAGCTCCAAGGACCAAAAACAGGCTTACATACCAACTCTCCCTCAAAAGGCATCAGTCTCTCAGTATTGACCTCCTCTTCTATAACTAGCCACCTTTTCTCTCTGACTACTAGTTTAACTGTCTGAAGGCAGGCAAGCTTTTATCTTTATTACATCCACCTCCTCAATGAAAATAAGTCACAAACAGAAGAAAAAAAAATATACAAAACCCAAACACTAATAATATTCTCAATATAAGTATTCACCAAACAGAGTAACATTTCACAACATATAGATCCAATGCCTAGAAGGAGGAAATAAGCTGTCTTTAGAGACCAGCACTCTAGTCTCTTAAACACACACAAAAAAACACCACAAAACCAAAAACCCAAAGAATGAGTTCCAAATCTTTGTTCCTAAGCCCACACAGTGAATTCTGAGCTGAGAATAAAAGGGTTTGGGGCTTAACTTCTGTTCCACAGGAAGAATATACCCTTAGATGAAGAGTTAATAATGTCTGAAAAGGTCACAGAGGCACTGACCACTGATACATACACGATGTGGCATCTTAAAGCACTTTGCTCTCTTATCCTCAGCTCCCAGGACACAAAGCCGGATCAGCAGAAGGAATCAGGAGATGTTATACAAACTTCACAGCACAAACACATCCAGTCAGATTTTTTGAGGCCTACTGAAAACATCCAGAGCTGCTGTTCTGAACAGGCTACAAATCCACTGGAGGGAGGATCTGTCCGCTCTCAGTAACTGCTCTCCTGACAGAGTGCCTTATTACCCTGAAGCAGAAGTCAATTTTGCAGGATTCTGGCAAATCAAACATCGCATCTACAAAATGCTCCACAACAATATATTAAAGAAAATGTGAAACATAATACTTGACTAGTAGCATATCAGATCTATGAAGTAGAGATAAGGAACCTAATACACTCATAGCAATGCCCTCAGTGAAAATAACCCATCCAGCTACTCAACTAACTCAGAACAAATGTTCTAACAGTCCATGAGCGTATGCTTTTTTTTTATATTAACTTGAAAATAAAGCACCAGTTGAGGCCAAATATCCCCATTAAGTATAAATTATTAGATTTGCATAACAACACCTCCTGTCTTTGCAGGACTCAGGGTTAAAAAAAATCATTAGTATACAAACAAAACCCAAAGAACCTTGCTGTTGAGGCAGTTAAGTGTTGCCCAGTATCTCAACCACCAGCTTCCTTTCATGCTTGGCAAAGACAAGCCACATCTGGTCTTTTCACAGGAAGTCACCAGTTTACACATTCCTCACAGTCTAAGCTGTTACCTTGAGATCTGAAGAACACAGGCTTTAAGCTGTCACAGATGCTAATGCAGTTACTTGGACCTGTGGCATAGACTACCGCCCTGTTTTGAGCTAGGACAGAACCAATCTTTCTTTCAAACTGTGACAAGCATAAAATGTGACATAGTAAATACCAGGTTCTGTGCCTCTGAATCCACAGAAATGTGTTGTAGAGAATGTTTTTGTTTGGGGGTTTCAGTTTTTTTGTTTGCAAATTCAATCCTGCAGCAGACAAAGTAACAGAAAAATATATCAGGAATTTGTTCCTAAGCAATTTTATTTTTTTTTAAGTATTTGTTCTACTTAAATAAGTGACAGAAAAACTGATGCAGCATAACCTAGATAAGTGAAGAGTGAGGAGGATCAAGAACTGACTGAACTGCTGTTCTTAAAGGACTGCGATCAGCACCATGAAGTTCAGGTGGAGGACAGTCACTATGGGAGTAACCCTGACACTGATACCTTGTGCTACAATTCTAAGATTCAGTGGATACATAAGAAAGTGTAAGAACATGATTACATTTTGTTACAATAAATTGTAAATTCAAGAAATTATCAAAAATTATACTTCCTCTTGGACATAATTTTTTAGTACTTGACCAAGTTCCTGAATTATAACTCTGCAGTTATTCAGTTTGGGGCATTTAATATTAGATCTAAGATGTGACATGGATTCATTTCCAGTGGATAAGGAGCTGGCTAGATGGTTGTGTCCAGAGGGTAGTGGTCAACAGCTCTTAAGTCCAGATGGAAAATAGTGACAAGTGGTGTCCCTCAGGGGTCAGTGCTGGTTCAGTGTGTAAAGTCCATCAGAAGATCAGTATTGTCTCAACATTGTCATCAGTGACTAGGCCCCAAGAACTGAACTAACATCTCAACATGAGTTGGCAGTGGCTTGCTGCAGGTGCAGAAACCATGGAGAACAAACTGAGGTACGGACAGTGCAGGTACCTGGTACGGGTCTATTCTACTGGAGCAGCAAAGCTAAGAACTGCTGTCGAGGACTATGGATCCCGCTTGCTGTGCCAAAACTGAGGAAGCCTCAGTTGAACTTTCTTCATTATAATGTTACTAGAATACAAAAACAAACCTCCTGGTAAGAAGCTACCCGCCTCTGAAGCTGGCCACACCTCAGACACTCCTCTCTGGGCATGCATGGAAGCCTCAATCCAGACAGGAGGAGATTGGCACATTTCCATGGGACAGAGGTGGAGTGGAGGTGGGTCCAGGGGGGAGCAAGGTGTGCTACCCAGGATAAAAGATGGTTCCTTAGTAACTGAACTTTGAAGATCTTCCCCACCGAGAGATCATGATAATCGAAGCAGCAGCAGCAGCTGAACGCCTTCTGATTTCAGGACCATAGGGATGCCCTGGGACCCGTGGTGGTAGCTATTATCCTCTTTCCCACCCCTTTTTACCTCATCTTTCCTATTCTTTCTTCTTTTCTATCGCAAGCTGCTTTACGGGCAAGACCAATAAAGTCATTGTGTGTTGATAACTCGCTGGGCTTGTTGCCATTTCATTTTTGCACTTAGGGATCATAGCTGAAACAAATCATCACACGTCCACCAAGGAGTGGACCATGACATTAAACTGGCATCACAGATAGGAAGGATCCTGAGAGACAGAGGGGTGCAGGTAGTGTGTGATCTGTAACAGGGGAAGGACACTTAACTCCAACTGCACCTGGCCGTACATGCCACAAAGGGCAAGACGTGTCCAGAAAGCAAGGGGGGCGATTTGGATTTCCAGCACACCACATACGCCTGGGCATAAAGCACACCAAACTCCAGTTGAGGGCTTCGTCTATCATGATCCAGCTAAAAGAAATCAAAGTGCAAAAGAAGGGACCTGGCTTTATATTGTGATAACTTAACTCCCTAGGCTTGTTGCCATTTCATTTTTGCAGTTTGGGACCACAGCAGAAATGAACCATCATGCATCCACCGAGGAGTGGACTTGTTTAATATCTTCATTACCAATATTGACAGTGGCACTGAGAGCACCCTCAGCAAGTTTGCTGGTGACACCAAGCTGGGTGGTGAGGTCAATATGCCAGAGGGACAGGATGCCACCCACAGGGACCTGGACAAGCTAGAGAAGGGGGTCCAGGGGAACCTCATGAGGTTCAACAAGGCCAAGTGCAGGGTCCTGCACCTGGGCTGGGATAACCCAAGATATGAATACAGGCTGGGGGAGGTCACACTTGAGAGCTGCCCTGTGGAAAAGGACCTGGGGGTGCTAGTGGGTCCAAAGCTGGAAATGAGTCACCAATGTGCAATTGCAGCCCAGAAGGCCAACTGCATCCTGGGCTGTATCAAAGTAAGTGGCCAGCAGATTGAGAGTGGTGATTCTGCCCCTCTACTCTGCCCTGGTGAGACCTCACCTAGAATACTGTGTCCAGCGCTGGTACCCCAGCACAAGAAAGATGTGGACCTGTTGGAACGTGTCCAGAGAAGGGCCACGAAAATAGTCCCAGGGCTGAAGCAGCTCTCTTATGAGGACAGGCTGAGGGAGTTGGGGTTGTTCAGTCTGAAAAAGAGAAGGCTCTGGGGGGACCTCATAGTGGCCTTCCAGTGCCTGAAGGGGACCTGCAGGAAAGCTGGGGAGGGTCTTTTTTCAGGGGCTTGCAGTGAGAGGACGAGGGGTAATGGTTTTAAGCTGAAAGAAGAGAGATTTAGGTTAGAGATCAGGCATAAATTCTTCAGTATAAGGGTGGTGAGACACTGGAACAGGCTGCCCAGAGATGTGGGGGGGCTCCATCCCTGGAGGTGTTCAAGGGCAGGTTGGATGGGGCTCTGAGCAGCCTGGTCTAGTGGAAGGTGTCCCTGCCCATGCAGAGGAGTTGGAACTGATAATCTTTAAGGTCCCTTCCAACTCAAAAAATTCTGTAATTCCATGATTTTTCTACTCCTCAATATATAAAATGACAATCACTTTCAGTAACTGCAGTGACTACATAAATATCATCAACATTACTCCTTGAAGCACTAGTATTTACAGTTTCTGTATAAGCAAAACAGTGGTGACAATTACATTTTTAAGCCTAACACAGCTGACAAAAAACCCAGGTTATGAGGGTTCCAAATTAGAGCATATCAACTAATTAGGGAAAATGCACAATATTAAAACTCAGCATCCAATCCAATCACAAAGATTTTAAAGCACTAGACTGAAACACACCTATACAGTTTGGACCTACCTTTCTGCAATAATTTGACCTCTCCATTTTCTTTCTTGATTTCATTCATTATTTTGTGCTTCTTCTTCTCTTTTTGCTTCTTTTCCCTTTCCTTAATTTTGTCTTTGATTTGAGCTGAAATGCAAATATTTTACAATTAAGTAGGAATGGTAAACTAATGGGTCACATGCACGTTTTATATTACTCTCATGCAAGCTGCAGTTAGAGAACAAAAGGAGTTACAAGCAAATCGCAGTACTTTTAACATAAAGAGCTGGTATTTATCAGTTGCATAATCCTACATAAGCTTGTTTAACTCAGACAAATTTTGTTTCTGTTATGTTAGAACTGTATGCAACAATTGAGTATGTTAACTGCACACAGCTAACAAATCTTTTGTTTACTTCTACTACCTTCTGTTCTTATTTTGCATCTGTAATCAGCTCTTACTTCTTGACATTCAAGTTACATGCACTAGATAAGAAATGGGGGAAAAAAGTAGAGTTTGTCTTTTCCTGAGTGCACATATACTCTAGAAGCCTCACATAACTGTCTCCACATAGTCTAAACTGAAAGGCTTTTGCAAGTAGCTTGGAATGACAACCTGTCAACTGAAAAATCTTTCACACTAAGTTCACATGCTACTCTAATTTATTAATAGCAGTAAGATGTAATCAATATAGACACATGAAATGTGCTTTATTTGCACAGCAGATACAATGTGCTGGTGCCTCCCTTGCTTACCTAAAGTCAGCAACAGCTTACCTGAGCAGTCTAATTATTCATCTACTTCCTTGTCAAATTACTCCAGGCTTTTAAATAGTTGTCATAGAGAAGCAAAGCCGTTAGGCATGCTTTCCACATGAAAAATACTAGACCTAGAGGAATTAATAATTTCAAGGAATAATCTTCTCAAGCTGAGCTCAGATTTACTTTTGAGGCCAAGCATTTTGAGAAGTCAGATTTAACTAGACTTAAATGCACTGCAGCCAGCACTTCATTCCTAGTTTCTTGGCCTGAAGCCAAGTACCTGCTCCAAGAGTTTACTGGGTTTTTAACCACCACAAGGGAAGTGCAAATCTGATTCCAAGGTTTTACATAATATTATGCTTCAGAACACTTTCTCAATAAAACAGCTGAAAGACTGAGACTAATGTTTTATTTATGGTATAAACCCCATGTGGACGCAAAGAGAAATACAATTATTTTTCCTCAAGCATTCACATCAAATAGAATCAGCAGGTACCTTCAATACTAACAAATCAGAAATATTCTTCAGAACTAAATCAAAGAAAGCCTTCAATTCTAGAAGGCAATAGTGCTCCATAACCAAATTATTTATTAAGTATATTCACAGTTAAGCAAAAGGTGGAAATGGTTTACAGTAATCCACATAATGAATACTCTAACAGTGACTCTACAGCATTCCGTATCTTTTCTTTTAGGAGTTTTCACATAAGTCTACAGAACTTGAACTATAGCAGTTGTTTGGATTAAGAACACATTTTGCAAAGCGCCCAAGAAAAAAAATAAAAACCACAAGAGATGGCAAATGATAAATCTCTGTTTTCTATCTACAGATTAAGATAAACATTGGAGAGAGAACAGAAACTATGCTGGCACACAAATAGGAAGGAATAAGGCAGCTGTGCTTAAAACTGTCTGGCAGCCTCTGTTCCAAGAAGCTGAAATAATCACAGCCTTCTAACAGTTCAATGAGAAGGGATGACAAAGCAGATTCATCTGTATAGCAGACCACAAAATCCAAACGACTCCTAAGCAACACAAACCTGTCCTTTCTAGGAACAGGTTAAGCAGACATGCATCTTCTCTTCAGCCTGCTTCTCCCTGCAGTGAAACCCCCAAATTGTAAATACCCTGCAATTTAAGAGCATGAAGTAGGAAATATATTACACAACAGGAATTTAAGTAACATTCTGAAAGCAGTCACTCAGCAAGTAGGCACTAGGCTTCATTTGTGACTTACAGTGAATGTTTAACTAAAACAGAATTCAAATTATCATGGGAAGATCTACATTTTATGTCAACATTTGCATACTGTTAAGAGGCACACTTGACTTCTGCTATCACTCACAAATTAAAGAAAGATTGAAGAGCATATACAAATGCTGAGCCTTTCTGAAAGGGGACAAGACTGAAAGAATCCTTTATTGCTATCCTCACGAATAACATCAGATGGATGAATCTTCCAGTTTTGTCAGAAGCAACACATATGTATGGACAGAGAACAAGCCGAAACCTTTTAAAGAGCCTCTGGTTTATTTTTGTATCTAGAAAGCAATTAGCAGAGTCAATGAATGGTGAGACGTTCCTTCCAAAAGAAACAATGGAAGTGTCCTGTGACCTCCTCCAGCAACAGCCACAAGCAAATCCCACTTGAAGCAATTGCAAATACAATGTAAATACAGCAAAGGAGTAAAATAAATTAAACTTAACTATGTCCCTTTTAGGAATCCCAGTACTAACACAAAAGCAGTGTACAGCCTAATGCAAGTAAAAAACAAATTCCAAATTAAAGAAGTCAGTGGTCCTGAAAACATTATCTTATTGTTCATTTGATGAATTTTAGGGACTAGTGAGCACAAAAGAGCAGACACTTATTTAGGTCTCTTCACATTAACCTGTTTTCCACTCTATTTTTAACAACCACATTAGGAACAATTTTGACTACAACACAGCAATTGTTACATAAAAAATTTTCATACATGTATACAAGCATTATTGTAGCATAGCAACCCTTACAGTCTTCTCACATCCTTTCTCACTACATGCTCTTCCTGCACATGCACATACTTCCTATTCCCTTACTTATGCACCTCTAAATACACTAAAAGCCAAAAGTTTGAAGTAACTTGTATCCTAGAGTAAAAATGAAAGAATGCTGCATCTTTTAATAAAGTAGTTCTCCTATCAAATTGCACTTTCACTTTATATGCTTCTGGCAGAGAAATACACTGCTCAGGAAATAACTGGTCATGGACTAAACAGTTTCTAAATATTCTCTACTAGGGTTAAAAAAAAAAAAAATACATGGCAAGCACAGTAGGAATCAGCTATGGAAGGCCCAGTAAGAGTTAGGCTCATCCCTTAGCTTTCAAGCTCTGAAGAAAAAAATGCCTCTATATTATAGAGGGGGTTTTTTACGCTACTAAGTAAGTCAATGACATGTGGAAACTTTTTAAAATTCTGAGTTCTGTAGGAATAAGTATCCCTCCTTGTAGGAAATACACCACTTTCGGAACAAAGAGATTCCTAGATGTCTTATTCATGTTCACAAGATGTGTGTGTCAAAACAAAGTCAATATTCTTTGATTTTCATGTCATATGAACAGCACACTCATGAATGAAATGCAGCAAAAGTGGTATATTAAAAAAAAAAAAAAGAAGAGTGCTATAAACCAACAGGAAGAACTCAATTAAGAAGTGTTTCACCTCACCTTCCTAAACAGCATCTAAAGAATGATTTCACTTGACTGTGGATCCAGAAGATTTAGTGAATTAATTCAGAATGATATGCATACCTCCTCCTCAAATCCAAAAGCTTCTACCTTTTCTAGATGTTGGGTTAAGTGTGTACACAAAAGAAATAGAATAGGTACAACATAAGGAAAGCAGCCATTTACAATTAAAGGCTATAGAAAAAGATTTTTTTGTTTCCTCAACAGGTAGATACATAATGACTGCAGTTATTTCTTAAGTAGTAAACCAAGGAACACAAATTCACAGACCACACCATTCAGATTTCAGAAATTTAAACATATCTTTGCCTCTACTGCAAGCTTCTACAGACAAAAAGCTAAATCGAGTGCATAGACAACGTCAAGTGTAAAGTGCTCTGTAGTGGATCAAATGCAATGTGGCCGCTGTCACTTCGTGAAATTCGCACCTTGAAGCCAAAGGAGAAACTCAAGCAAGACGTTTCAGCACCAAAAGAGGCAAGCTTTACATCAGATGCCAAAAACTGCAGCTGCTTTGCATCAATTTTTCCAGATGGTAACCCACATTAGTAGTCAGTCATAGATTATGTTCAAAGTGTTCTCCCTCTCTCTTCTCCCTTTGATTTAAGGGCTGTCACTGCACACGAGGCAAAATATTTACAAACTACCACTAACGGCCACCATCAATATGGTTAACACCAACAGTATTTTAACTGAAGGGAAGAGGGAGGAGAAGACCACGAGAACATCAGTCACTGTTCCTTCCATTGGCACTCTCCTCCTTTTATACAAATACACAGAAAAAAAACCTCAAGAAGCCACATTTATCTGTTTACTCAGATAGATGCAGTATGTTTAACACCACTATGTTAACGGTTTTGACACCTGCACTTTTGTTAGGTCATCCAAAGTGAACTGGAGAGCAGGCATCCTAATTTAATGCATGTAAAAAAAATAATATTTCTGAGACACCCCCCCCAAAAAAATAAAAATAAAATAAAATAATTCACAAGCATGATAGCTTTCTCAATCCAATAGCCAGGAATATTTGGCTATTTAAAATCCAGGATATGCCTAAAGAAATTCCCTTACCAGGTGAGAAAAAGCCCACCAGTGAATGAATGACAAGACACACTCTTTTAAGAAGCAAAACACTTCCAAGAAATTTAAATCCAATTCTTGCAATTCCTTTCATCTTTGCACTTCTAAATGATACGTTCTACATACAGAACTGAACGATGAAGTTTAAGGTCAAGCACTGGAGAGTTGCATCAGAAATCAGCAGTGAACGTGACAGCTGCAAACAAGGCCTTTACAAGAGGTTTCAGATCTGATGTTTCAGTCTGCTGATCCCATTTCAACTAAAAAAAAATCATTTATTTTTCTACAACCAGAACTGCATGAACTACACAGAGCTGGATTCTGGGGTATGGGCAAGGCTTTGTTTCTTCTCCATCTTAGCAAATGAGAAATTGTGTTCTGTCTAGCAAAGCTTCACAGTTATTTCACATAAATGAAAAGGGGACAGGTTCCCTCAGGAGAAAGATATACTCATCCAAATTCATTTCAACACTGGATGCTTACTGTCACTATCAGCTCTCAAACCTGCACAGAAATCTCCAACAATGAAATTTTGAAAATGCAAGCCACACAGTGAAAAAAAAAAAAA